CCAGTTACATAAATGTGAGACCATGTGGCTGTGTCCCATATCTCATGCTCTGTTTTGTTCATCCACTCTTTTCTCTGTGCTTCAGTTTTAGGTATTTTCCTCTTGGCCTGTCAGCAAGTCCTTGAATCCTGTGTTCCTTGAGTCTCCTGTGCTCTGAAAATCGTCTGACAAGTTCTTAATTTGAGATATTTACTTTTTAAGAAAATCTACTTGGCTTTTTAAAAAATAAGATTCTGTTGAAAATTGCATTGTTTTGTTTTATTTTTTAAATCCTTGGATTGATTTCAAGTCCTTGCCTCCTCACTTCAGTATCTGGTTTATCTTGAGTCTGTCCATTTGTCTGGTTTTCCCTTGATTATCTATCATATTAATTTGCTTCTTTGGTTGTCTTCTGTGGACCTGACATTTTGTGTAAAAGAAGAGTTATTTTTTTCTAGAGAGGTTTGTTCTTTGCTGTATTACACAAATAGGGTAATATCTGTGTTGATTACTTCAGTCCATTCGAGGATTGAGTTGATTCTCCCTCTACTGGGATTGTGTCTTCTAGACACTGGGAGACTGGGAAATTGACTCTGACTTGTTGGCCTAGCCTCCTTGTCCTTGTTCACTGCCGCATCACTAAGCAGATCTACCATTGGGAAAACCGGCCGCATATTTGGGGTTTTTCTAGATTTCCTGTCTGTCATTCCAACTCACGCAGTAGTCTAAAAGTCCAGTAGTTTCTGGTTTCTCTCTTTTGTAGAGTATGTCTGTTTAAGCCAGGCTTAATTCTCACTTGCACCCAAACTCTGCAGATGTCCTTTTGGAAGAGTATGCCGATAATAGTCTGGGCTCACTCTTGGAAGTGCTTTTCCATATCTGGACTTTTAGTTCATCTAGTCCTTAATTGCTTCCACAGCTTCTTATGTTAGTCTAGGTTTTGAAGAAAGAACAGTGGCTTGCTTCTCTCTGGTATCTTACTTTAGGGAAGTGGAAGTGAGGAGTTAATCTTTGCAAAAAGAAAAAGCAGATAATTTTAGAGTGCTTATTTGTATAAGCATAGTGATGTTTTGAATAGTTTTATCTGTATTGTATAATATTAATTAAATACTTTTTCTTTCTGTTATGAGCCTGTTTATCAAAATATACTCGAGACTAGGAGTCAACAAACTAGTTTACAGACCAAATCAGCACAATTCCTGTTTTTGTGTGGTCTGTGAGCTAAGAATGGTTTTTAATGCTTTAAAATGTTAAAAAAAATAAAAAGAAGAAAATGTCATTAAATTTTGTGAAATTCAAATTCTCATGTCCAGAAATAAAGTTTTATTGCAACGCAGCTGTGCTTGTTTGTTTATGTGTTGTCTGTGGCTGCTTTTATGCTGTAGTGTTTGACTAGTTGCAACAGAGATTTTATGGTCCACAAAGCATGAAATATTTGCTATCTGGTCCTTTACAGAAGGAAAAAAAAAAAAGCCTTTTCCTGCCTTATACCATAGACTCAGAAATTTTTCATTGCTCATAACTAAGGGAAATTAAACAGAAGATTGAAACCCTCTTATTCCTAAAGTTCTTTGAATTTATTAAAATCCTAGCATTTTAGAGTTAAAAGGAACCTCAGAGATAATCTCCTTAATCTTGTTATTTTACAGATGAAGAAACAAATTCAGAGTGAGAAAGGTTTTTAAATTAAATCATGACTAATTTTGGTTTTGTTAGAAACACATTCAGTAATAATCTGCTAGAGGAGCTAATGAACTATTATCATGGAACAACTTGCCAAATTTATTTGTTCTCATATTACAGAACTGTTTGATTTTCCTTAAACAGTGGTTGTTATTAAGACTATTTCTTTGGAATCTTTAAAGTAAATATTTTAAAATAAATAATTAAAGCACATTAATAACCTTTATCTTTCATTACTACCCATAGTTCTTTCAAATCTCATGGGCATGGGTTCTTTTTGCGAAAACACTAAAATCTTATAGGATGAATTCCACACATTCTTCATTAAGCTTCTTTTTGATACAGGAGATTTCAAGTGCAAAATCACCAGGAATTTCAAGGTGAATTGTGGATATGTAAGACTGGTTTCTAGAGTTTTTCTTTTCTTTTATCTGTCTATCCTCAGATATTATCAAAAGTTTATTTAAGCTTAGTTCTCAAATGTAGTCATATAATGGAATGTTATACTAACATGTAGCATTTGTGTTTTCTAATGTTGAATATGAATTTTCATATAATTTTAAATTTACTACTGGCTCTTTTGGACAACCCTCTACTTCTAAAACAATCCAAATTAACTAAGATACAGTAAAGTCAATTTATGATGTTTTGGGGAAAGCTGATTCTTCAGCTGGTTTATATTCAGGAATTAGTAGGTTCAGATTCGTTTAAATTGTTAGAATGTATTAAATGTTGAATGGATAGAAAGAAATATTTTAGGAATACATATTAAGTCATCTGAACTTTCAAGAAGTCCATTAAACAAAGCAGACAAAAATATTGGTGTATATTAGTGAAAATTTAAGTTCATGATAACTAGTTTTCAGGAAATACATCTTAATTTTGATTTATATACTAGTATTCTGTTTCTCTGAAGTTTCGTTTTGAGTGACTCTTGACATTTTTATAAATTGTATAGAAGAGTAATTATAGAATTTTGACCTTTTTACAGTTACATACTCCTGTTGCTCAAATAACTGATTTTAATCACAAAAACTTTAGTATAAAGGGAGGTTGGTTTCCTAAGCCATGTATGAGATACATTTTCATTAACTTGTTTATTCATCTGACATTTCTTGAACATCCATGATGTGTCAGACACTGATGCAGATGCTGAAAGTATGGCGTTGATATAGGCCTTTGTCATTGCTCATAGTTGAATAAGATTATGTAAGCAGGCATATCGGTTCATGTGTAGCATTTGGTAGCTATCGATCACTCTCTTTATTTTTCTGGCTTGCTATAATGGGGAAACCTCATCCATGTACATGGTTTCCATGACCTTCTTTGCACCAAAATCTGCATAAAATAATTCCATGGATACCTCCCTAATGGACATTTCTGGCTAGGTATCCTTTAATATTTGGTGTCACAAGGGTGTCCTTGGTTCACTGCCTATTTTACTCTTTGAGTAAGGCTCATAGCTGTAGCTCTGAACTTCCTTCTTTTCTACTCTTTCTTTCCCTTTCATCCTACTTCTCTTTCTCTCAAAATAGTACTGATATTGAGTTCCAGGTATTTTTCTGGGCAAAGAGGCTAGCTAGAGCAGTAAACAAGAGAGACACAGCTTCTGCACTCTTGCATACATCTTGTTGAGGGAGCAATGCGTTAAACAGATAATCCTACATATAATTACAGTTGTAGATTACACAATGAAACACAAGTATGAAATGCAGTGAGAGTGTATAGTAGGGAACTAGTCCAGTCTGGGACATTCCTGAGTAAGGGACTTAGATACTACGACCTCAAGGATGACTAGTATTTAGCAGGAGATGTGGGAGAGAATTCCAGTAAAGGGATAACCTTTGTAAAGCCTCTGAGGAGCTTAGCAGATTCACACAGTTGAAAAGGTTGTGGCTGGAGTGTGATGAACAACTTGGAGATGGCTGAATAATGAGGCAGGAGAGACAGGCGGAAAGGTCAGATCTTGGTAGAGGACTTGATAAACCATGTCAGTGCCTTTAAACTCTATTCTTAGAGAACTGAGGAGGTATTAACTAAGTTTTAAGTGGAAGAATTGCCTACTCAGATCTGTGTTTTAAGCATTGACTTGGGTTTTGTATGTGAAGAATGGATTAAAGCAGGGCAGGTATAAGAAATGAGATATGAAGCTTTTGCAATAGTCCAGGCAGGAAATGATGGTAACTTAGATTATCAGCATAGCAGCAATAGAGATGGTATAGACAAATTGAAGGACTATTTATGAGATATATTCAATACTTAACAAGATTTTGTGGTTATTTTCATTTAGGGAATGAGACTGAAGGAAGTGTCAGGGAAAATTTTCATATGCTTTTTCACATCTATCTTGTTGAATAAAACATTTTGAAAATCAAACCATTTTTCCCTTAGCAAACTAATTCTTCCCTTGACTTCCCTATTTTCCTGAATGACATCGTTACCACGAAGTGAACTAGCCTTACTACAGCTTCCACTACATTGGTTACCAAGTGTTACGGACTTCACTTCTGCAGCATGTAGAAGCTCTTCCTTCTCCTCCTCTTTCTCTCCCCTCTTCTTCTCCTCCTACTCCTACTCCTCCTCTTCACCTTTTGTCTTCATTATCACAGTAACATTCTCTTGCTTTTCATCCAAGCCTCTGAACTCCTTGAGGCAAGAACTGTCTTTTTTATGTTGTATCTTTAGTACCTAGAAGTGTGTACCTCAACATGGTAGACATAAAAAAAATAAATGAAATTAAAATAAAATGTTTTCTGTGACTCTTGTTTCTTTTACTTTAATTCTCATTATTGCCACATTTTTTTTTCCTCAAAGTCTTTTAGAGGTTTCCTTTTTCTTAAAGAATAACTTGGTGATAGGGTTGTAAGGTAATGAAAAACCAGCTGCTGATGTAAGCAGTGTATGAGTTGGAGTTTTCTTACAGTCATTCAGTGAAAATAGAATCCTGAGCCTTTTTGCACTGCAGCCCTCCTTACTACAAAGAGCAGATTTTTCTGGGAGAGGAACATAGTTAATATTTATTAGCATCCCCATTGTTGAATAAAGTTTAAAACCCCCCATTGGTGCCTTTAAAATTCTTTTAATTTATAAAAGTATTTGTGGATTTCAAATTTTTAATCATTTCATGTGTATTTCTCAGGTATCCAGTATTGTTTTATCTCATCCCAGTAGCTACATTGTATGGTAGTGTCTTATATGTATGTATAGAGTATACTGTTTCATAGAAGGAAAGTTTGTAGGATAAATATTCAAGTGTCTACTTTAGAAGCGCCTATTTTTAGTAGCTTTGTATGTCCTAAGTGGACTTTCATAATTTTTCCATGTTTTTACATTTTTAGGAATAAGAAAATTTTAAATAAGAAGAAGTTGAAAAGAAAACAGAAGAGCAAATCAAAAGTCAAGACAAGAAGCAAGGTAAACTGTTGGCAGTTTATGGGAATAAGGACTTTTTCATATAGTGATTTGAACTAAAATGCCAAGATTAACAAGGTGTGAGTATAAGTGTATGAGAGGGTACCCCTCCTAAAAAAAAGGAATTGTCTTTTGGAGAGTAGGCCCCTTGTAGTACAGGTTTCCCTGGCTAGGTGAGTGTTCTAGGAACCCATTTTATTAATGTACTAGCTGGTGTTGTTGTGAGAAGCTGTATTTAGCTTCAGTGAATTTTTTTTGGAAGACTCTTTCAATGTGTTTGTCCATTTCATGATGGGTGATTTATGAGTATACACTATGCTGAGTGTTCAGCAGTTTTTGACCAAAAACAGCATGGCCCTGTGTCCCACCCTCCCTGATCACCTGATCTTGCCCTGAGAGACTGTTTTTTGTTTCCCTGGATGAAAAAAGTCCTCAAAGGGAAACATTTTGCTAATGTGAAAGAGGTGAAACAAAAAACACAGAAACACTAAAAGGCATCAGAGTCGATGAGTTCAAAAGCTATTTTTGAGCAGTGGAAAAAACATCTCAATAGTTATATTGCATCAAATGGAGAGGAGAGTACTTTGAAGGTAACTGAAGTTTAAACATGTAAGAATAAATATTTTTGTAAATAAATTCTGAGTTTTTTGGGTCCCCCCTTGTAATTAGCAAATCATTTCACTTCTCTGTGCTAAAGTAATTTTTTAAAACCCCTTTATTATTTAATTATACTGTTTAGTTTCATATTTTTACCAGTAGCCTATAAGTTAATATCTAGATCCTGAAAATTATTATGTTTTATCTTTGATTTGGGGGGAAAATAAACATTTCTTTCTTTTTCACTCTAACTACTTAGTGTACTATAGTACAAACAGTAAAATTTTGGCCTGTGAGTGGGGACTTGAATTTGGGTTTATCATATGCATATGCATGTGTGACGAATTAGGGAGCATCATGGTGCATCTGTGTTGTTCTGAGGCTCTTTTGACTATGGGTGGCTGTGCAAAAGAAAATAAATACAATATAGGAGATTTTAATTAGATGGGACCTCTGCGATCAAGGATCTCATTTTCCATCTAGTATAAAAATCCTTGCTATAAAACCATCTAGTTTTTTTGTAAATATTTTCAAGGTCCAGATTCCACTTTCTATAAAAGAGTCTCCTTCTTTCCTTTTGAACAGTATTAAGAAGCCTAGACATGAAGAAGATAAGAATCATAACTATGCTTTTTGAACACCTCTATTTGTAGTTAAAGAAGCAATAGCTTAGCTTGGCCTGTATATCATATTTAAGTTGTAGAGACAATTGTTTCCTGCTCTTTTTAGTTAGTGTTCTTGCTATTGTAACAGAGAGAAATCAACTTTAAAGTAGTAAACAAACAAACAAACACACCCCAAAAGGTTAAGGGATGGAATCTTTTTGGTGGCTCTGTTTTGAGACACAGCTGGATCCAGGGATTAAATAATTCATTAAATCTAAGTCTTCATCTCTTGCTCCTGCTTTCTCTGTGTTGGCTTATTGTAGCTCTTCTGTGTGTGGGCTGCTAGCAGCTCCAACTTCATTCTTTTTAACTAAGAGACAGTCTTTTCTACTGGTTCCAGCAGAAAGTCTTGGGTATGATATTTTGATTGACCTGTATCATGTGCTTTGGCCTTGGAGATGGGGTAGTTTGGTTAGAAGTGAGCACCCTGATGAATGGGAGAGGGGTGGTTACCCTCAGGACAATATTGCTGGGTGGTCAGATAAATTATATTATTTTCACTATATCACCTCTTATAACTTCTCCTTTCAGGTAGAGGATGGGAAGTAGAGAGCATTTTTTATATACTTACCATATATAAAAACTTTTAACAAATATGTACTCATTTAGATTTCCAACCTCTACCCCCTTTCCACTTTTTTGGAGTTATGTGCAGAATCACAGTATGGGATTCTTGAAGATCTTTTTAAGTTCTTTTAAGGTTTTATTTGGTGATTTTCCTAAAAGTGGTGGCATACAATTGCGAGGATGAGGTGGGAAGATGAGTCTTTTGTCCCTTTGAATTCTGTTTCTTTGTGCCCTTAGTAGTTCAGCTGTCTTACCTAGGCCTCGGGCTTTTTATCTGCTATCTGTTTTTTAGGAGCAGTTTGTGATAAGAGTGATGTAAAAACATGCATTCTTTTAGTCTTCAAACAATTACATGCTGACTATGCTAGGTATTTGGGATAGAAAGATGAATAAGAAACATTTCCTGCTCATGATAAGCATGTAAAACAGTAAAATTTTGTTAGTCTTCTTGCCCTCTCATTGTTTTTGGGCTATTTTTCATCCACCCTATTTTTTAAAAAGTTATTTAAAAAATGCCAAGGGCTTTATTCCCATATTACTTAAAAACAAGCATTTCTTTTCATCAAAACTAAAAAAGCCATTTAGCTATGCTACACTGTCTCCTTTTTCCTTTCTGTCATGACCCCTCTTTTCTCCCCCTCTGTTAGGCATCACCTTCATTCAATTTCCTTCTTATTCTTCTTAGATACCACAGTCTTTTTAGAAAAACTCTTGCTTAATCTACTGTATTAGTTCTCTGTGGCTGCTGTAACAAATTACACAAACTTGATGGCTTAACACAACACAAATTATCTTATAGTTCTGCAAGTCTGAGTTTCAAAATGGATCTCATTGGGCTAAAATCAAGATGTCAGTACGTCTTTATTCCTTCTGGAGTCTCTAAAAGAGAATTCGTGTTTTTGCCTTTTCCAGCCTCTAAAGGCTGCTTGCATCTCCTGGGTTGTGCCCACTTCCATAGTCAAAGCAGCAGTTGCTGGTTAAGTGTTCTTATGCTGCGCCACTCGAACACTTCGCCTTCTCTGACTGTCCTGGCACCCTCTTTCGTTTATAAGGACCGTTGTGACTACGTGGGCCTGCACAGATAATCCAGATAAATCTCCCCATCTCAAGATTTAATGTAATCATATCTATAGGGTCCCTTTTGCCATGTGAGGTAACATATTCACAGGTTCCAGGGGTTAGGAGACATATATTTTTGCAGACTGTTATCCTGCCTACCACACCTTCCTTTCCTCCATGTATATTTGTTGGACTCATCTTACAAAATGGATATGAATCCACCTCTTTTCTCTTTCCGTGCAGGTGAGTACCATGAACTGTGAAAGGGAGTTTAAAAAGAGCTAAATGATATCTGTACACATTCAAATGGACTTTTTATAGTTAGCCTGTCCTTATTTTTTCTAGTCATATAGGTCTCTCATTTCAAAACTTTGCCACTCTCCTCAAACTTTTGATTAATCCCACCCTCCAACAAATGCCGTCACTTTCCTACTAGAGAAATATAATCTATTGTATAGGAAACTTCTTCAGTATCCTGCTACCTAACAGGTCTGTCTTAGGTCATTATTTTTAATAGCAGAACCCAAGACAAGGATTTAAAGTGTATAATTGGGTGAGTTTTGAAGGATAAATCAAGGTACAGAAAATTTCCATCACCCCAGGGATTTCCTCATCCTCTGCTGCATTACATCTCTCCCTATAGCCCTGTCTCTAGTCAACCACAGATATCAGCATAGTGGCTTTGAATCATGTCCACATAGTTGTGCATATTAACAGTTTAATCCATTTTTTGCTAATTAGTATTCCCTCTTATGGATATGTCTTGATTTGTTAATCCATTCACCCACTGGACATTTTTGTGTTTCCAGTTTACGTCCATTGCAGATACAGCTTCTGTGAATATTTCTGTGGTCTTTGTGTGGATATATGTTTTCATTTTGGGATGAGGGGGTAAATTACTAGGAGTAGAATAATTAGGCAGTGTTTCCTTCAATGAGTTGCCAGAAGACTCATGAGACTCAAAAGTAGTTTATACTGATGACTAGGATTTAGTACAACAAAAGGTAGTGCATAGCAGGCTCAGGAAAAAGAAATGTTTTGAAGGTGTCTCGGGAGTTACGGTGTAGGCTTCTTAGTTCTTCCTTGGACATGCTGTCTCTCGGGCAGTGAGGACAGAGACAGGTGTGGAATGCTTCCACCCAGGAAAGCTCATTCGAGTCAGGATCTGAGACTTTTTAGGGGGTTCTGGCCATGTAGACGTATCCTGCTGTGCAACCAGCCATGACAAGTGAAATTCAAGTGATATCACATAGTATATCACAGATTGAAACAGGTTTAATCTTGATATTTATATGAAGCAATCAAACAAGCCAGTAAGCATGGTCCATTCTTCCAGCTGTATGTAACAGCTGGAAATCAGTAACTAAACTAACATAAAGAAAACACTAAAGGCCACATTCCCAAGGGTTGACCAAGGGTCAGTCATGGTTCCTGTGGAGAAATACAAGGAATAAGCAATCATACCTGCAGTATGATCTCTTTCCTCAGAGGTAACGTGGTAGATGAATGTTTAACTTTTTAAGCAACTGTGAAAACTGTTTTTCAAAGCGATTACTACATTTTACTGCTCTACTAGTATTATATGAAAAAATCCAGTCACTTTGTATCTTTGTAAACATACAGTATTATTAGCTTTTAAAATTTTAGTCACCCTAATAAGTATATAGGGGTATTACTGATAGTGTAAACATCTTTAACTTGCTTTTCTCTAATGACTAATGATGTAAACATCTTTTTATGTGCCTTTACCCATTTGTATTTCTATTATGTAATGCCTGTTAGATTTTGCATCTCCTTTTTGTAATTGTCTTATTATTGAATTGTCAGAGCTTTTATATATTGTAGGTACAAGTTCTTTGTCAGATGTCTGCATTGCATATAACTTCTCTTGTTCTGTGGCTTGCTTTTTTTATATAGTGCTTTAGAAGAGCAGAAGTTTTTAAGTTTTATGAATATCATTAATTGATTTTTCAATATGATTTGTGCATTTTGTGTCTCAAGAAATCTTTACCATAAGGTCACAAAGATTTCCTTTTAGAGATTTTATAGTTTTAGCTGTTATATTTAGGTCTGTAATCCACTTAAACTTGTTGTTGTTGAGAAAAATGATGTTTT